GAAACAATCCTTTCATCTTTTGGCGGAAGAGGCTGATAATATATTCAAAAAGAGATACTAATGGAACACCAAACACATTAAAGCATAAATACTAGAGGCACGAAAATTAATAAAATTATGCTGTGTTTGAAGCGTACCTGTTCAGTCAACATATGCAGCTCAACAGCGCTGTCACCTGCATCAACCAAAGAAAACCCCAAGAAGAAGGAGAACGTGACACAAGTGCTACAAAAGCATTCCAAGAAAATCATTTTGCTTTAGAGATCAAACAACTTCATACAAAGCTTTGTAATTTTTAGTCTTTAAGCCAAGGCCTAATATTCACAAAATAACACACCAATTATCAACTATAATTATTATCATATTGAAAANTCACAAAATAACACAACAATTTTCAACTATAATTATTTTCATATTGAAAAGTGAAAAAAAAAAAATTCTCAAAAGCCAAAATTTATACGAAACTGGCAACTTCACCATAAAAAGGGGGTCAAACTAAACAACGAAACGTGCAAATTTCATAAAAATTCTAAAACGGTGTTTCACAGCAACAACTAGGGACTCAAAATCATAATTTGTCAAGAAAAGCAAACTCACTTGACTGCAGAAAGCAAGGAAAAAACTTAACTTATCCACCCACCAAAATCCCAATTCTCAAAAACCCAAAAATAATAAAGTAAACATCGTATTGATTTTATAATTATAATCACACCCGCACCCGCGCACATATACACAAACAAATAAAATAAAATAACGTGTATATATAAACACACATATATAGATGCGAACGAACCAGGAGATGAAATAGAAGCGAATTGATCGAGGCTCTGTTGACTCGTACCTTCCATCAGCTCCAATTAAATTATACACGATATGAACCCAATCAAATCGGATTAAAAAGTTCAGATCTATTTGAGTTATACCATTCCAAATCAATCTACCCTTTGTTCAAAATAAATATGAATCCGTTTACGAAAGAAGACATTTTACTAATGAAATTTGATTTATAGTAATTGCGGGGAATCCAAAATTGCTCCACGAAAAGGGTTTTAGGGAGTCACATAAACACGCATTGTACACAGAAAAATATTTTAAGGAGGACCGGACAAGATAGAGTGCATGTTTGACTAAGCTAACTTTGTATCTAAGTTTACTTTTATTAGTAAACAAATAAATTAACTTTTTTATTCATGAATAAATAAGTTACTTGTTTTTACTCTTTTTATTCACGAGTAAAAAATATAAAATTCCAACAAAAATTTTCTTAAGATAAATTTGCGGTCTAGGTATGTGACCTTAGGAAATTGCATTGCTTCTTTAATGCATCCTCAAATTCTATTAATTTAAATGCATAATCGGTTTAACAAATTTTTCTGTCTGTGGACTAGAGGTGTAAATGAGTCGAGTTGAACCGACTCGCGAGCCAAAGTTCGCAGATTGAGTGTGGCCTGAAAAAAATCGGCTCGAGCATTTTGTCTCGAGTCGAGCCGAATCGAACTGAACCAAAGCTCGGCCAAAAATATGTGGCTTGGCTCAAGCCTTATCGAGTAGAGTCTAGCCAGCTCGAATTTTATTTTTTAATAATCATGCCTCTAAGGGTGTAGCTGCCTAAATATGCGAGCAGTTGTTAGCTAGCTACCGAGACACATGCCATTTTGGCATGTCACATGGGGCCGACTCAAGCTCGAGGTTCACTGAGTCGGCTCGAACTTTTCACTGTCTGAGCCACGGGTTGTCCGAATTGGCTGGCCAATTCGACGAACCTATTGTGGACCATAAGCTTGACAATAGGTTCGAAATGGGTAAAGAGGGAAATAATGGTGGTGAATTCTAATAGGCAATGTTCGAGATAAGCAGATGAGGCAACATTCAGTTCAAGGAAATGAAAGATATGCTAGTCTCTTTCTTTCAGCTTTAATATTTTTATTATTACTAGTCGTGGAACATGTGTTGCACGATTACTGTTATAATTCTCTTAATCTTCAGTCTAATGAATCAATATCTACTTCTAAAACAAATTTGTTTATAAATATGTAAGTGAACTTGTACATCTATATATTATGAGATAGGATCTCCCTATGATAAAATAGAACGGTGGGCAGACAAATGTGAAGTAGAAACAAGATTTAAAGAAATGGATTCCATGCATTTCATTACTTTATTTACATTATTATAATAAACTCAGCATCCTCAACATACAAAGATAGTTTCCAAAAATTAAAATGCAGTCCATGTCATGCATGAGTTGTAATATGGTCCTATAAAAAAGAGTCCTTTGGTCAAAAGGATTTTGAAAAACAACTTTTTGGTTGTTTTTGATTTGTCTATGTTGTTGCTACTGTATTTGCCAAATGATTCCCAACGTGCATTTAGCGAAAAACAAAAACAACTCATTTGCTACTTGAGCTGCTCAAAGTATGGGACAATTGCNTTTCTGTTTCAAAGACCAGATTTCTTCGTGCAGTAGGTGGGAAGTGTTGATTGCTATTAGGGAAATTTGTGCAATTGAAGGAAGTTTTGTTCTTCGCATCTTATTGAGACACTGTTGGAGATGCTTCTTGAAGTCCACAATTGTTATCAAGAATATATACCACATCTAACCTCGGTTGGTTGGACTTTGAATTGGGGTTTCCTACTTTCATGTAAATGAAATTGTCTTCATCTGTGTAGTTGGACTTATGAGAATCAATGACACGATCTGGCTGTATAAAAGATTAAACNGATCTGGCTGTATAAAAGATTAAACAACCTATTACAAAGTTATATAAGTGGGAAAATTTGGTGAATGTAATAAATGATACATAGAAACTTTACCATTATACTATATTTCATTATTTTCTCAATTGGAAGGTGCAAGAATGTTTCGACCACATCGCTGAATAATGATGCAGTAATATTGCCAGTGTGATCTCCAATGTTAACACATCATCTTGCTTTGGGGGAAAAAAATTCACATTTGTATTAAGCACAATTTGAATTTTACTAAAATTAAACTAAATAAAAAACGATTATTTTTGTGTACATAGTAATATATCTATGGTTATTACCTTCGAATTGCTCTTGCATGCATGTACTTGCAATAATTGCAAAGATACATTTCATTCAATTGAGCAAAAGACACCCAACACAAGTATCACATGTCATATACCAAAGTGATTGAGATCTTGTCTTCATTTAAACCTTACCCTTTATTCAAAATGGTTTGCACTGAAGTAATTACTAGGAATGTTAGCCTTCTTTTTTAATGGAAATATCTTTTTTTTTTCAGACTGGAAAGAATTCTAATGGAAGTAATCAATGGTAAAATTTTCATTCTATTATTTAATATGCAGTCGATGTGTTTTCTGAAATATCTTTGATGTTAATGATTCTTTTGAAGGAGGTGCCGAGGTGGAATAGTGGAAGTATTCAGTAAATCATATGTCTTTTGAGTTATCATCTCTGTCAACATTTTTTTTTTGTTTCTTTCAGTCCTTAAATAGCAGGAAAGGATAAGCTAAAAAGTATGTAAACAATCAAATAAAATAAAGTCATGGGAAATGAATACTGGAATTTAAAAATTTTTATGAATAACAAACAAATGTACTAATCATTTTCTCAGTTCAGCAAGTTTTTTGAACTTTGGATTTATGAAGATTGAAATGTTTGCTTTTGTGGACAACGATATTCCTATTGAATATATTATAGTCTTGTGGACAAATTAAAATTTAATTGTAGACATGATTTGTTAAAAGTGACGATTCAAAATTGAGATTATTTACCTTTGAACGATGTCACCTTTAAATGGTTAACAACAATCATTGGTTTTTTCATGAGGCAGCCAATAATCTCAACGCTTCATGGTCTATTAAATTGTCCCAGATAGTTAATATAATTGTTTGCAATCTGCATATGGAGTTATGAAATTTTAAAATAATTTTGATAATTGGGAAACTATTGGTCTGTGTTTGAAAGTTTAACTTGATGTATACTTAACTTTCATTGACAAGAACAATGTCTTGGACAGTTGAATCTGCATTTTTGTTTGGAATTTTCTGTTTTGGACAAACATCAACGGCAATACCTACAAATGCTACCAACAAAAATTTATGAGCTTTTTGTGATATGTATTGGCGTGAAAGTATAGCTATGTAATGAATACACTTGTGGTAGTAGTTTGAATTACCCATTTCAATGTCCATGTGTATGTACTTGTAAAGTTCATCAAATGTTGTAAACTGAAAACTTGTTTCCACAAGAGGGACGCGGTCTTCATATTTCTTCTATTTGGATTGAACCACTAATTGTCCACTGTGTATTTCCATAATGTGATCTAAATCGTTTGTCTGTTTGTTTCACGTATGCACTTGAGATCAAGCATGTCTTCGTTGACACCAATTTGTTTTCAAGAGCTTTAATGTTTTGAGCAAATATACTTGCTCAGACTTTGTTTCCCTACATGAATTATTATTATGTAAACATAAGATAAAATTTTACATAATAAAGTTATTTTCAAACTGAACTATGTAAAATAAAGCAGATAATAAAATAAAGCAGATAAGTTCAAACAATTTATAGTGTTAAAATGCGCAGTTTAATGTATGGTAATTTTGAACACACGGTTTTAAATTTATTATTTCAACTTCAAATAAAAAAATCAGTTCAGATGACTCGAACTTCCTAAAAATATCAAGGACTTGGAAAAGAAACCAATCAAAGTTGGAGTAATGTTTCCATACTGTGAGACACAATCTTGTAACTATTTCATCCAAGTACAAAAATGATTATGTTCTTTCATTAATTGGAGTCTTAAGTTAATGGGAAAAACATGAGCAATAATGTGTAACAAAACATTCAATTCAATTTCAAGAAAGAAAAAATCAATTATTAGTAGTTCATTATCTCACAAATGCATGTCCTGGGTAAGCCGACAGTACAATAGAAAAGAAGGAATCTATGATGCATCAAATATGAACTATGTAAAATAAAGTAGTCATGGATAAGTTGGAACAATTTATGGTTTTAAAATGTGCACCGTAATGTAGGATTATGGACAAATGCAGAACAAAATTAGTGTAGAAAATTTACAGCAATATCTATTAGCCAAAGGTGCTCATACATTCAATTCCCCTTTTGTGATGCTCGTGGAGCTGTTTTTCTACAACGACCACTTTACATGTCCATTCGATTTCTCGTGTTGCTATCTCAGGGATTAGTTTGTNTTCCATAATGTGATCTAAATCGTTTGTCTGTTTGTTTCACGTATGCACTTGAGATCAAGCATGTCTTCGCTGACACCAATTTGTTTTCAAGAGCTTTAATGTTTTGAGCAAATATACTTGCTCAGACTTTGTTTCCCTACATGAATTATTATTATGTAAACATAAGATAAAATTTTACATAATAAAGTTATTTTCAAACTAAACTATGTAAAATAAAGCAGATAAGTTCAAACAATTTATAGTGTTAAAATGCGCAGTTTAATGTATGGTAATTTTGAACACATGGTTTTAAATTTATTATTTCAACTTCAAATAAAAAAATCAGTTCAGATGACTCGAACTTCCTAAAAATATCAAGGACTTAGAAAAGAAACCAATCAAAGTTGGAATAATGTTTCCATACTGCCAGACACAATCTTGTAACTATTTCATCCAAGTACAAAAATGATTATGTTCTTTCATTAATTGGAGTCTTAAGTTAATGGGAAAAACATGAGCAATAATATGTAACAAAACATTCAATTCAATTTCAAGAAAGAAAAAATCAATTATTAGTAGTTCATTATCTCACAAATGCATGTCCTGGGTAAGCCGACAGTGCAATAGAAAAGAAGGAATCTATGATGCATCAAATATGAACTATGTAA